ACTTTTTCAGCTTAACCTATTTAATTTAATGGGACGTATAGGTAATCACCATTCCTCACAAACCTATTAAATTAAACTGGTGAAACTAAAATTATTGAGGATAAACATTAAAATAAAATAAAAATACCTAGCTATCGGATCAAATATTTTCAACCAGAATAGACGTGAAAATGTGCGACTTTTCCAAAAATCATACAAAACACATTAAAAGACTGTTCATTTATGGCGTAACTCTTTAGTTTTGGAGACTTTGGTTTTGGTTTCTAATGATTTTTATTGTAGACAACAACAAACGAACATCAATCATCCCATCAGCGCATCAGCATGTTTGGAACTGATCAATGTCACACAAAAGAAGGTAGAGGACGGAGGGCTTGACCCGAAACACTATTGGGTGTATAAACGTTCGTCTATCGTGTAAATTTTAACATTTTTGGTGTTGATTTAATGAGAATAGTGTAAAAAATTACACATTGTCATGAGAGTAACACGGAACCAGGATATAAATTTGATTCAACGCTGTATTGTGTAAGATATCAGTTTACCAAAATACTGTTGGTTAAGTGGCCGGCCCTTTACGAATAATGGTGTATAGTTTTTTACACACAACGTGTTTACGACTGTAATTATACACGGGATTTTTTTTTACTGTGCACTTAACAGGGTTCAGATTGGGGTATAGCTGAGTAATTGCATATATACTGGAAAAACCACCAAGCCTTCCAAGAATCAGGGTCTTAAACTATATTGGTTTCACTGGTTCTGCCACTGATCTTATGCCCAGTTACATTGATAAGTGATAAACGTTCACACTTTGTTGAATCGGATGGACAATAGACAAACCAAATTAGGCAAGAAATCAAGGCGTACAACAGGTCTCGATAATACTCTATTTTTTTTTAAACTATTTTTTCCGTTTACAGTTGCCGTCCGTCTGTAAGGACAATCGTTATGCAGATGAGATGCAAGTACCTACCACATTCTTTCTTCTCTAAAAAATGGTTGCAAGTCAAAACTCACATAGAACATAGAGAATACTTGGAGTGACATATCCTCGAAATCAATTAATTGTCATGTTTTTTTGGCAAAAATAGAGATATACGAACACGCAGTTAGAAACAAAATTCCTCTTACTGACAAATTGAACTACTTGACACCACTAACTATGCAAAAAATCTTGGATTGATCTTAGACACAAATTTACGTTTCACAGGTAAACACTCTCAATAAAGCTACTATTTACATATTCTCTCTCTAGTACAGGTATCAGAAAATATCAACCTGTTTCCTATTAGTTGCAGGTTGCAGGATGCTAAGTGGCTTATTATGGGTAGAAAGAGAAAACTTAATTAAGCCAAAGCTGTCCCTTATATAATAATAATACATAGCAAATAAATTCCGGTACAGAACTGATGTTCACAGCTTAAACTTAAGATTCCGTGGATTGTTGACACCACCGCCTCAATCATCTGCTATGTTTGAGCGAAGCTTTACATACCTACCTATGATGTTTATTGTTTGTACCTCGTGTCCAATTAAGAAAGGATTTCGGCTATATCTCAGGAACTACTTGTCCTAGAGCGTCGAAGTATTTTTTTTTTCTTGATAAAATAGGCCATGAAAAATTGCAGGTTTGTAAGATGACGTATGGGGTGAGGAAAGGTTCAAACTTGTTATGAACAAAAGTCATATAACTTTTGTTTCTCAACCGATTTCAATGGTTTTGGTGTCATTTGAAAGAGTTTTTCCTGTTTAATAAAATGCACAACAAAATAAAATTATTTTTTCGCCGCTAGGGGGCGCTGTGTCTAGAAGTCGACAGTTTCTCATTTTTTCTCGGAAATTTCGAATGTTATGATTGTTTTTTTAAAATTTAGATGAACAGAGGATAAGGAAATAACGCATCAGGTAAAAAGCGTAGGTATAAATTTTAATCCTAGCACAAAGTATAAAATAAAAAAAATTTACGCCTGCATATCCATTGCCGAAGTGGAAGCCGCTGCTTACGTAGGTATATAACTGAACGAAAAGTGTGAGATTTCTTATTTTTTTATCCTCTTTTTATCTAAATTTTAAAAAAATAATCATTAGATTTGAAATTTTCGAGCAAAAATTGAATATTGTCGACTTTTAGAAACAGCGCCCCTAGCGGCGACAAAATTATGTTTAATTTTGTCGTTTTTGTTATGTATTTTATTAAAAAGGAAAAACTCCTTGAAATGACACCAGAATCATTGAAATCGGTTAAAAAACAAAAAAGTTACATGACTTTTGTTTATAACAAGTTTGAACCTTCCCTCGCCCCTTATTTGAAGAGTAAGGGCAAAACATTCTGAACAAAATGTTTTCGTAATCTCATCAAGATTTTAATTATCGTATTTTTAGGATACCGTTAGTAGGTCTTTTTTGGAGATATTCACAGTATTATGTTCTCGATACAGTGACTCTATTAAACACAATGGCGACAATAGGTCCCGCCGCCATTTTGTGCCCCATCTCTTGCTAATTTTAAATATGAATATATAGGATTTAATGGACATCTATGATAAAAAATCGAAAACAACATATTTGATGAGTGATGACTATTATTGGATACATCAAATACGTTGTTTTCAATTTTTTAGGATGGATCTTCACCCAAATCTTATATATTCATGTTTAAAATTAGCGAGAGGTAGGACACAAAATGCCGGTGTTTTCCATATGAATATATAGAATTTTAAAGAACCAATCAAAAATAAGACAGCTATTGTCACCACTGCGTGGTTTAATAGAATCACTGTAGTTTTCGATACAGTGACTCTATAACCCACAGTGGCGACAATTGCTGTCTCATTTTTGATTGGTTCTAAAATCCCATATATTTATATTGAAAACATCGCCATCTTGTTCCCAACCCCTTATTACTTTTAAATATGAATATATGGGATTTAGGTGAACATTGAACATTCATCATAAATCATGGAAAACAACGTATTTGATGGACCTAATAATGGTCATCAAATACGTCGATTTCAATTTTTTATGATAGATGTCCATTTAAATCCTATATAATTAATATTTAAAAGTAACAAGAGGTTGGGAACAAGATGGCGGCGAAACCTCTATTGTCGCCACTGTATGTAAAGGTTTATTTAGCCACTGTAGTTTTCGAGTGTTCGTTGCGCCCCCTAGCGGTCAACTCACAAACCTGAAAACTATTTGCAGCAACTTTTCATGGCCTATTTTATAAAAAAATTACTTGGAAGCTCTAGGACTAATAGTTCCTGATATATAGCCGGAGTTTTTTCTTATTTGGACACCCGGTACAATATACAGTATAAAAAGTCTGGGTTTGAAATAGCTCAAGAGAAAAGTTTCGGATATCCTTCTCAAGAGCACAAATAACTAATACCTATAAGTAGTATCTAAAAAACAATCTTTCTGGCAAGGATCGCTTATATCTCAATATTGAATATTACTTGAAATATGGATTACTGCATTGACCAATTTTATGCAGTGTCCCCCATAATGTTCACTACATATGGGGAAATTTTTTATTTGTAGGATATGGAATTTTTTCTTATGTGCGATCGATCCTGCATGTCCGATAACCTAAAAGTGTATTTTGACATTGGTCACGTGATCACTGTTGTGGCGGCAAATTCGAAAATTTAGATATGGAAACGCGAAAAGTGGGGTTAAATGGCAAAGTTTCGAAAAAAGTTATTTGAAAAAAGCGATTAGAACTATGTTTTAGGGCTGTCTGCGAAATTGGGAGGAAAAACAACAAAAACAGGAAATTACTTGTTTTTCGCCATGGATCTCTTATCAACTAATATTATACAGTTTTTATTATTGAAATAGTCCAAGTATCTCAATCTTTGATGTGTATTGGTAAAAAAAACCTAAATTCTTCATTGGAATCATTCCTAGAGAATTAAATAAAAATTGTTGATAAGCACATGAAACTTTTCTGTAGCAATATTCTGTATCTGGACAGTTAAGTAAGGTGTTTTAGAACTGTATTGAAATATTTAATAAAAAATCTCAATAACGAATTTTTTCAATTGTATCAACATCAAGTTATTGGAAGTCTCAGAAACTGTCAAGATACAGGGTATTGCTACAGAAAAGTTCCATGTGCTAGTCGAATATTTTTATTTAATCCTCTAGGAATCATTCCAATGAAGAATTTAGGTTTGTTTTACCAATACACATTAAATATTGAGGTACGTGGACTATTTCAATAATAAAAATTGTATAATAATATTTGATAAGAGATCCATGACTAAAAACAAGTAATTTCCTTTGCTTTGTTATTTTTCCTCCAAATTTCGCTGACAGCCCTAAAACATCGTTTTGATCACTTTTTCCAAATAACTTTTTTCGAAATTTTGCCATCTAACCCCACTTTTCGCGTTTCCATATCTAGATTTTTGAATTTGCCAACACAACAGTCATCACGTGACCAATGTTAAAATGTACTTTCAGGTTATCGGATATGCAGGATCGATCGCAAATAAGAAAAAATTCCATATCCTGAAAATTATTTTTTTAACTATATGTAGCGAACATTATGGGGGACACTGTATTATTCATTGTGCTATAATATTATGTAAATATTATGAGTTATTTGTTATGTGGATATGTTAGATTATTCAATATTTTGTGATGTTTTTTTTTTTAAAACCTCCTAATTTCAAGCGGCTGAAATTTGATTTTCTTTAAAGTTGGGTCCAGCTAATTTTTGCACTATTTTACCTGATATTTGAACTTGCTGATGAACATAAATTTTATTATCATTATTATCACTGGTGGTTGGGTTAGTTCGGGTAATTCCTATTTAAGAATCGACATATCTGCACAGAGAAATCGGAAAATTTGCAATTAGTACTTACATTGAAGAATACGAATCTACTGATAATTATTGATAGGTGTGTTTCAGCAGACTGTCAAAAATGTTAAAAGCAGAGAGATATTCACTTACAATTGCTATATTCAAATAAATAAATACTCACAAGCCTCGTGATAAATTTTAAAAATCCATCAATACTTGATATTTCGATAAAAAAATTAAAAATAATCCAGACTGCTTGTGGGTTGGTCACTGTTGGACTCGCAAACTGACTCACCGAAATAAATAAATCTTCAGATTACTTATCTTTCAAAAAAATTAAAGCCTGTGTCGCACAAACGAATTACGATTCATTAAAAATGCACAAAGGAAGTACTGCATTTGTTGATAAATTTATGTAATTTTTCCAGGCATATTACGCTTTATTGTCTCATGCTCTGCGTGCCATATCGTTATTATAATATTATCATGTTTTTGTGTATATACTCTAAAAAAATTCGAAATAGAAGAATGAATAAGGTGATTTTGATCTGAAGTTTCTTAAATAGAATGTCTAAGTCTATTAGTAATAATGATGATAAGGAATGACGGATTATAATGTATACCTACTTTAAATATTAAGACATTCCCAGAAGTTGTTAGTGGTTCAGGAAAAGTCTTCGGTAATTTTTTTTTCAGTGTATCACCGAAAAAAAAGTCGTTATAATATTTTCCATCGAGGCTTTTTTAATTTTCCCCACAATTTTCTAATTACTGAGCCCGCACTAATTACAAATAAATTGATGTCAATGTGAAGGACATTTTGAATTATAAGTCACGTTATAGCTGATTTCAGTAATTGTATCGATATATCTTATTATTATAGGTCCCATCAATGTTGGGAGAAAAATAATTCGAGCATGACAACCCAAAACTCGTGTTTTTTTTTTATTGCTATTAATTCTGGAGCAAAATATAAACTTCCAATAAAGACAGATTGAAATGTAAAATTTCATTCTACCCTTCTCATGTAATGTATTTTTTTTAGTCAATATTATTTTCTCTAAATTAAGACCCACAAACAACAGTAGCATATCTTTATACATTTTTTTCTCTAAATCACAAACTTAACAAAAATTTGCTACATGAGTGAACGAGTTTATTCTCCGACCTTTTTGATGATACATAATGTTGATTGTTGCGAATGCGGGTTGGTAGATAAGTGACACTCTTTCCATGTTATTATATTTTCAACACGTAGTTTGTCATGAATTACATAATATTTTGTTAAACAACAAATTTTATGACTTCCACTCACTCTAGTTTCTAAACAAAAGCCACAAAAGCCGTTTTCGAAATCCTGCATTTATGGCGAAATCATATGATATCGGGAGGCACTAATGGGCAAATAAAGAAAACTGTGTCCAATATCAGAATAGTTAGCGATAAAAGTTTCAAATTGTTCATGGATAAAAATGTATAATTTTAAAATTGTAAATAATCATCACGAAGAACGATTTTATTGCTGAGAAATCCACCTATGTGAAATAAGCTTTCAAAGCATGAGAAGCATATTGCCCTATTTGATGGAATTTCAAAGAGTTTGTCACATGACACAATTAGTAGTGTTTCCGCTACCAAAGGGGAATAAAATTAGAAGAAAAAAATGCTTAGATAGTCTGACAATATAAATGTTGTCTTGACCGCGTCGCGTGTCATATTGGAATTCGTGTAAATGATATTCAAGATACCGTGTACATTGGCAAACTTTTTGAATTCCATAAGGCTCGTTTATTGAGCACACTGCATACTACTAGAAAATATCATCACCCCTACAAAATCCATTTTTATCCTGTACCTTATCTAGATAAAAGCATTTGAATTGCGAAATCCGTATATCCATAATTTTTTTAAAAGTTAGGTAGGTTCAGCAAATTTGAAATGGAAATATATTGTTTTTTGGGTTCCCACAAACTCAGCTGAACTCATCCAATTTAACCACAAAACAATGGTGCTTTTTGCTACTAATCAAGGCATGTACCAGTTTCAACTAGCCACAAAATTTGAAATGAATAGTTTGTGGTTTAAGTAAGTACCTACATAAGATTCAATCTCTGCAGACTTAGCCCCCTGAATTAAAATTTTTCACTTTTTCTACTCTCAATCGCTTGATAGCATTTTTTTTCAAGGGGTGAGTCTGCACAGGTAGGTAAGTATTCCTAATAGAAAGGTATGTATGAGGTTGCAGCTAGGAAGGAATTAACTCAAAATTGATGTAATTGGTCTATGTCAATAATCATTAAAGTAATAATTGTCTGAATTATCGCAGTCAAATCGAAATGAGGACCGCCGCGGAAACTATCAGCTGTTGAAAAGCGGCTGAGCGTGAGCCCTGACAACATTTGAAACATTCGATAGCGGTTTATAGCGGGCACATATTCAATATGCTAGCATCGGTGCAGTATTAAAACGTGTTAATTCTGGTTTGTAATTTTACAGTCAACAGATAGGTTGCTACTTTACGACTTTCTGCTACAATAATTATCCTTTTATTCAATTAATTTCTGTAATTCATTATTATTTTATATAAGTAAGTTATTGTATTTCAATTGAAATTTAATTTAGCCAAGCAAGTGATAAACAGGTTATTGAATTTGAATAAATCACAAAGTCTCGTAGTCGGTTTGAAGATCATTAAAACCATAGTATACCATGTATCCCAATTCATATCCTTAAAGGGGGTGTGACTCTAAAAAACGACTTAGGCTTCTTAAATCAAGAAAAAAAACTAAGATCTCTCGTGAAAACCGCAGTCCTATATTTAAAATAGTATTCGAGAAAATTCCTTGCGAAGATAAATTATGCAGGAGCTTGTGATGTCACAACCGCCGAAATCGCAGTTTTCTGTTCGCTTAGTCGTCAGTGAACCGTAACCTATACTTTGAGTGATTGCAATTCGCTCTAGGAGATAATTGTTTTTTGTTTTGGAATATTCTTACACGTGTTAATACTGTCCCTGATAATCAAGTGTGACGTCACAAACGCCTAGTTCTAACTTTAAACCGCTGTAACTCGAAAACGGATCATCGTAGCAAGTAGCAAGATTTTTGCACTGAAACTTTCATCTTTGGGTTACACCCCCTTCAACATTAGGATCTTGGTTATTATAGGAGATTGACTCTTTCAATTAACCAAGGAAAGTTTAAGACAATTTTATGCTGATTTAAAATCTGCTTCCGAATTTTATTGAAAACTAGCTAGGTATTCCCCGCGGTTTCACCTGCCGTTAAATTTAAAAGAAATGGGACTGGAGTATAAATAATTTAGAGTACTTAATCATATATTTTTAAACAACAATGTAACTATCAAAAACATAGATAAGCTAAAACAAATTTCATTTTCGTCGGGCAGCCGTCCTTGGATTTTAGTACATTAATCCACATTTCCAAAAAAAAAATTTCTAGATGTCGTTTGCATCTTCTGCTTTGTCTATTAGGTTAACCAAAATATAATAATATTTTCCATCGAAAGTGTATATTCTAAACTACGACCACTGGCCGAAACAACTGGCGGAAAATCTGATGACGTCAGCAACAGTGCTAGCACACCATAAAATTGATTCGAAAAATCTAGGCCGATAAGCAGTCCAGTCAAGATACAGGGTATTGCTACAGAAAAGTTTCATGTGCTAGACGAATATTTTGATTTAATTCTCTAGGAATGATTCCAATGAAGAATTTTGTTTTACCAATAGGTACACATTAAATATTAGGCAATTTAATCCATCTGTCAAAATGGAAAATTCAATATGGCGTGGCGGCCAAGCAAGTTTGTTTTGAATATGTTTTTATGCGTATTTTAAATTATTTTGCTTAGAGCTTTGCTTGCAACTTTGATTTTGATTATTTAATAAAATATTTGTTGACTAGGTACCTAAATTATTAAATCGGGCAGAAACTAGATATTTTTTTGTGTTTTTTGGCCCATGTGTGGCCGCCACGCCATCTTGAATGTCACGTGGTTTAAATTGCCTAATTGAGGTACTTGGACTATTTCAATAATAAAAACTGTATATTATTATTTAATAAGAGATCCACGGCGGAAAACAAGTAATTTTCTATTTTTTGTTGCTTTACCTCCACATTTCGCAGAGAGCCCTAAAACGTCGTTCTTATCACTTTTCTCAAATAACTTTTTCCGATATTATGCCATCTAACCCCACTTTTCGCGTTACCATATCTAAATTTTCGAATTTGCCGCCACAACTGATCACGAATGTCAAAAGTGTACTTTTAGTTATAAAACTACAGATAAAAAAATTTACCATATGTAGCGAACATTATGGGGGACACTGTATACAGGGTGAATATTAGACAAGTACAAAAAGTTTGAATGTCTGCCTTATTGGCAATTTTTTTTTTCTCCGGTATAGGTGATTAGTGAGGTAATATAAATATCTCCAGACGTATTGGCAACGTTTGTATTTTCCAGTTTTTTGAATAGTGCCCTTTGGCGGCATATACACTAAACAACAAAGTTGATAAAATCTTGTAAGCACAATGTTTAAAGGGCTGTAACTTAGCTTTTTAGAGGTTCCACGACTCGCTTGTTTTTTTTGTAGATGGCCCTGTTCACATTATACAGGGGTGGAGAAAATCATGAACCTGAGATTAGGCAAGTTATGATAATTGTGTTGTTCCTATACATCAAAGCAACCATATTTGAGTGCTGTGATTCTATGGAGGCCTATGTTACTCAGCTCATAGAAACAGCACAGAAGTTGAAAGGTACAGGTTTTCAAATAGATGATGACTGGGTCGGATCGCTATTATTGGCAGGTTTACCAGGAAAATATGCTCCAATGATAATGGCAATAGAGCATTCCGGAATCCAGCTAACAGTTGACAGCATCAAAACTAAGTTGTTAGATATGGAGCCAGCCGGTAATACAGGAAGTGCTTTTATTGGTGGAAATCGGCAACATGGTAAACGATATGTGGGCAGAAGTGGCAACACTACCAGTAATTCGAATGGACGGGGATCAGCTGGAGCTGATGTCAACGTCAAAGTAGGGGTAGGACCTAACCCTAACCTGAAAAATGTCAAATGTTATGGATGTAAACAAATGGGGCATTATAAGTCAAAGTGTCCAAATAAAAACATTGGCAATAGGAATTTGAATGCGTTTAGTATCGTTTTCTTGAGTACACAGTTCAGTAAAGACGATTGGTACATTGATTCCGGTGCGAGTGGACATCTTACTGTTAACAAAAATTGGCTAGGGGAAACTGGGTAACACTGAGACACTTTTTTTTCTAATGAAAATATTTCACCATAAACCTTTAAAATATAGATTTTGTTTTTCAGTAACACTCAAGAATAAATCTAAGTTAGAAATTTATTATGTTTTTGATTCTATAGTCACTTACAAAGGCAATATTTGACATAAACAGTTATCATGACATTTGTCATTGATACCCATGCAGGGGGTTCAATGAGACACTATATCGAATAAGAAATAATTACTTGAATAAACTGAAACAAACTTCTATAAATGACCCAGACAAAGTTTCAATGCCATGGTAGGATCGATTCTAGTCTTTCCGTAATTCACTGGTTTTGGCAAAATCATCTTAATATCTCTTTTAACAACAGTGGCAATATCTCTAAAATCTGGACATTTGGGGAAAAAAAATCCCTCCTTTTCATCACATTTCCTTAAATATAGTAATTCATAATCATTTTTATTATCACTATCGATTTCTGATAACAATTTTCCTATGTAATAGGTAGATTTTTTTCCTTTAATGTTTCGGTTGCAAATTCTACTAAAACTACATAGTCTCAGTGTTACCCATCTAAACATGTCTCATTCATACCCAAGTCGCATTGAAAAATAAAATGCCATTTTTTAGTCCCCCTTTGATCTTAATTTAGTTTTAATAAATCCAATTAACAACAGAAAGGTTCTCTTATATCACTCAAAGACAATGCGTAATAAAAAAAATCACCGTTTTTTCAAATTTCGCCGAAAAAGTTTGTTGGCAAAAAAAAAAAAAATAACCGAAAGGTTGTACCCCCTTCCACGTTGCAGACGAAACTAAAAATGGAAGATGGTTGAAAATAGAACCGATACTCCTCTTAAGACATCATTAATGTCTTATTGCGGCGACACCTAGTTAAAAAGTGAAGAAATAGCTAATATTTTGAACGTCTCACTGTTACCCGTGTCTCAATGTTACTCACTTTCCCCTAAATAATATCTCAATGAATATTGAGTTGCAGGACATTGTAACAGCCAAAAATGAAAAACTCTCAGTGTCGTGTGTAGGCGATTTAAACATTGTGACTGTTGTGAATCAGAATAACTATGACATCACTATAATGGGAGCTATGTGTGTTCCTGGATCAACAACGAATCTCCTATCGGTAAGTCAATTGATGAGTAATGGTGATAAAGTTTTGAACAAGAATGCTGTAAGATTTATAACAAACAAAATGTACTGATAGCTATAGCAGACTTAATTACCAATGTTTATAAATTGAGAATCAAAAGTTTTGAAAATTTTAACCTGGAGAACCAGTGTTTGTTAACATCTTCAGTAGCAAGTGCTAGTAGTGAAATATGGCATCGTCGTCTAGGCCATATTAACTACAAGGATTTGTGCAAGATGCAGGAAGGTATTGTTGAAGGTATGATTTTTAAAACTAAAAAAGATAGTAGAAATGCATGTGTTGTTTGCTGTGAGGGTAAACAGTCCCGAAATTCTTTTAAACATCATGACACAAGAACAAGTGTTTTGTTAGAACTTGTGCATGCTGATGTTTGTGGCCCAATGGAGGATAGATCACTTTGGGGCTCAAAATATTTTCTTCTTTTCACAGATGATTATAGTAAAATGGTTTTTGTTTATTTTTTGAGGTATAAGTTTTCGAAAAATTTCAGGAATTTAAGGCCTTGGTAGAAAATCAAAAAGGTAAGAAAATAAAATAATCAGATCAAATAATGGTGGAGAATTTTGCAGTAACGATTTTGAAAGTTTTCTAATAAAAAATGGTATTGTGCATCAAAAAACTAATTCTTATACTCCAGAACAAAACGGCGTTGTAGAAAGAATGAATTGTTCCATATTTGAGAAAGCAAAATGCTTATTATTTGGATTAGGTGATAAAACACCATATGAAATATGGAATGGTAGAAAACCTTATATTGAAAATATTATACTATTTGGTAGCACAGCCATAGTCCACATACCCAAAGCAAATAGAACCAAATGGAAGAAAAAATCTAGAAAAATAATTTTGGTCGGTTTTGGCGAAAATACCAAAGGTTACCAAATATATGATCCAAATGATGGTTCTATTATAACGAGCAGGGACGTTGTGGTAATGGAAAAGGCTGTCGAAATCCGAGTTATAATAAACTCGTCGTCAGTGAGGGGTATTACCAAAGATACTATTGAAGCTGGCATCTCAGATAGTACTGATATCAGTTCAGTATCAGAGTACAATTCAGTAAGGGATGAGGACGAGAAAGAAGTTCTTGATGAAATAATTGACAGTGACATTAATGACGATTTTGTGGTTAATGATCCTATTGATCCTATACAAAATCAGATTTTGAGTGACACGGTACGTCACTCAAGTCGAGTGCCAAAACCAAAAAAGTTTGAGGACTTTGTTACTATGTGTGTGTCTGGTGAAATAGACGCTGACCCAATTAATGTAAATGAGGCTTTATCAGGACCTGATAACAAAGAGTGGCGGCAAGCAATGAGAGAAAGAATACCAATCATTTATAGACATTGATGCATGGGAACTTCTAGATATTCCAGATGATGTTAATATTGTGGACTGTGAGTGGGTGTACAAGAAAAAGAAAAATATTGACGGTAGTATGCGTTATCGTGCAAGGCTTGTGGCTAAAGGCTATACACAAAAACCAGGTGTTGACTATGAAGAAACTTTTTCGCCAGTGGTAAGACACAGTACAATTAGACTTTTATTTGCTTTGTCAGTTGAATTAGATTTAGATATCAGTCATTATGATATCATGACAGCTTTTTTAAATGGTAATTTAAATGAAACTTTGTACATGAGACAACCAGAAGGTTTTCAAAGTTCTAAAAATGAAAGTAAAGTATGTAAACTTAAAAAGGCAATTTATGGCATTAAACAGTCGTCCAGAGTTTGATACGAAAAATTAGATACAGTTCTCAAAGAAATTAATTACAAAAGGTCTGAATTAGAGCATTGTGTTTATATTAAAGCTAATGAGAATTATTTGACAATTATAGCTCTATATGTAGATGATTTCTTTGTTTTCTCTAATGGTTCTATCGAAACAGAATCATTAAAATCTAATTCAAGTAACAAATTTAAATTGAAAGATTTGGGCGAGGCTAGAGAATGTTTAGGTATGAGAATTAGTAGGAATAAAGAAAAGGGTATTATAACTCTAGATCAGACTGAATATATAAATAAGATTCTCAAAAGGTTTAATATGAATACTTGTAAAACAATATCAACACCATTAGAAACAAATTTAGATTTCAGTTTGCAGGTAGAAATTTCAAATAGAGATATTCCATATCAGCAGGCAATTGGTAGCTTAATGTATTTGGCAGTACTGACAAGGCTTGACATTTCTTATACCATAAGTTTTATGAGTCAATTTAATAATAAGTATACTGAGTATCATTGGAAATGTATAAAAAGGGTTTTCAAATATTTGAAGGGTACAAAGAATTTTGGTGTAGTTTATAAAAAGTCAAATAATATTAATAATAACTGTAGTATTGAAGGGTTTGTAGATGCAGATTGGGCGGGCGATAACCAAGATAGGAAATCATATACAGGACTTATTTTTAATCTTTTTGAAAATGCTATATCTTGGGAAAGCCGTAAGCAGAGAACTGTGGCTTTATCAAGCACAGAGGCCGAATATATGGCAATTTCAGAAGCAGCCAAAAAGGCTATTTACCTCAAAAATCTTTTATGTGAACTAATGGGCAAATCAAGTTGTGAAGCTGTAAAATTATATAATGATAATTTGAGTGCCCAGAAACTTGCATCGAACCCAACGTATCATAAGCGTTCGGAGCATATTGATATACGCCATCATTTGATCAGGGAAGCTGTTTTTAATAAAAACATTGAATTGTCTTATGTTCCAACTGATGAAATGATTGCGGATTTAATGACAAAAAGCTCGACAAAAGCTTAGGTGTTTCTAAGCATAATAAGTTCATGAAAAATATAGGTTTGAAAGAAACTTGTTAGTTTTGATGTAGTGGGGGTGTTGTTCCTATACATCAAAGCAATAATATTTTGTCATGTAGGCATTGCATTGACAACCCTTATATTTATTTTTTGTCATGTTATGTGTTTTTGTAACATAGTTACAATATAAATAAAGTTAGTAGTTTTTGAAGAATTATTGTGTTAACACGTTTATTACTCAGAACTCCTAACTCTGCTCAACAAATTGTTCTTTTAAAACCTATTCAAATTGTTCTGTATGCCGTTTGTTTTCTTTGAAAATTGTTTAGGTGATACTTATTGGGCCGATTTTTTCGTTTTTGTATTCGAGCCTCCTGAAAATCCATTCTAGCACCACTATATTGAAACGATGTGGCTCACGGTTTAACGGATTGTGAATCGTTTTTCCCCACTGAAAAAAAGTGGTAGAACCTTTAAAAAAAATAAGCATTCGAAACCTACAATGTTGTTCGAAATCGATACAACCGTTTTCAAGATACAACCCTTTAAACATTGTGCATGCTTACAAGATTTTACCAACTTTGTTGTTCAGTAGGGTATCTGCTGCCAAAGGGCACTTATCAAGTCTGTATTAACTTACTAATCGTCAAAACGGAAATCTGAAAAAAGAAATATTGCCAATATGGCAGACACCCAACTTTGTATTTTTGCATGTTTATTATTCACCCTGTATATTGCTTGAGAAATGCATTCCTTCAAAATATATGAGGAATCTTTTGATAATGTTTAAAATCATCGATATTATTTTGTTTTCATAATACTTGATATTTGACGAAAAGATCTGATTGAAATCTTTTTCAAAGGAAAAACCTAAAATCTGCCAATGTTGTATGTACTTTTTTCATAAAAAAAAAGACTTCCAGAGATTGTACTAATAAGGTAAGAAAACCATGTTAATATGGCAGAATGACGTCACCCAAGAAAGAAAATATCCTATCATTAATAAGAAAAATATTTGTAAGCAACAACTTTCCGAATTTAATTGACTTTCTATCTCTTCTAATTTCTAAGATCCTAATGGTGAGGATCTGAATTCGGACACACTGTATATCTATATTTCTTCCGAGAAAAACAACGTGAAATATACCATAGTTTTGTCACCAACGTTAACACAAATGTTGCGTACAAGGTACGATAACGTTCAATGCCCGACGAGGAGTGTAGTTACGGGACTTATTAATTTGGACACTTAATTCAACGTTGGTTTTGGTGCATATTGCGGTCAAAATTGTAACAACGTGAGAGGATGGTCTCGGTGATAAACGCCAATGGGGTATAATTAATATTGTTGAGCATATTGTCAACTGGCCAATAAATAAAAACCATCATGTATATCAAAAATCGATCAATTATAACTAGAACACAATTTATCAACAATCGGCACTTTAAGCAGGTCAACGCGTAAACTAATCCATTCAGGTCTTTCTCTTCTCAGGGTCTCTTCACCCCGGAAGCAGCATTAATCTCTTTAGGTTCGCATCTCTCTCCTCAGGGTCTCCTTACCCAAAGGAGCAGTAGCTATACGTCTCTTCAGGGTCGCCTTACCCCAGAGAGTCTTGGAGCAATCTTTTTTAGGGCATCGCTGCGGGAACCAGTTGCATCCCCGTATATATACATAGAGCCCCAAGCCCAAGAGTCATGTGGCGTACCTCTGAGCAGGGGGAACCTCGAAGGGAACAGAAATAAAGTCTCAGCAAAATGGGTAAAAAGAATAACATTTTAGTATTATGTGATGGTCGATTTAGATTTATTTGGAATTCGATAAGGGCTAATTTTTCTAATTATAATGTACAGAGTATTATTAAGACTAATTCATGTTTTAAAGATGTTATCTCGGAAATTTCAAACCTTAGGTACAAGAAATTTTACTTTGAAAGACTATGTTATTTTACATGCAGGGATGTTCAGAATGGTAAAGCTCCATATTTCAGGGCTATAAATGGGTTTCTAAGCAATTGCACACACACAAATATTGTTTTCACTGCAGTTTCTTATTCATATGTAGATCATAAACATATTCAATTGATGTACAAATTCAATTCACGACTTTCCGATTACGCAAATGCTTTGAGCAGATATGCGGTAGGAACTGTGGCTTGTATAGACATGAATGATGCAAATGGCTTTGTGCATAAAAAACACATAATTACTGATAAATTACTGTATTTCACCCAACACGAAGTTAAAAATAGCAATCTTATTTTCATTAAGCCATTCGAGTCTTCAACTGAAAACCAAGTTGAACTGAATGTGGAGCCCGTTGAGGTCGAGGTTTTAGAGTCTACTAAGCATTGTGAATTTTTTTTAGAAACGAACCTAGGCGAAGTGATGCAGACATGAGTAGCGAAACTTTTGTCAAATATTTCAAAATATCCTTGGACAGGGCATCAGAGTTTAATAATGAGGCCTCTTTATTATTGCTTAACATTCAGTCCATTCGCAATAAGATTGACGAGTTTGTGATATTTGTGGAGAACCAGGGTAATTTTATATTTCTGACAGAGCATTGGCTGAGGTCTGATGAGCCACTTTATATCCCGGATTACTATGTGCTTTCTAAATATGTATTGCCGAAATCTTACTGGATATGGTGGCACAATGATTTTGATAAATAAAACTTTTTATGATGATTTTTCTGCAGATGACCTTATAGAGTATAGTGATCTGGCTATTGAGGGTGAATTTGAGTTTTGCATTGCGTGCAATAAGAAATTTATAGGCCACCAAGTGGCAGTGTAAGAAAGTTTTTGGATATTTTAGAAATTCTATTGGAAATTTTTTCAGTGAGTAGCAAACTTGTTTTGGCCGGTGACTTTAAGATAAATTTCTTAGATAAAAATTGGGAGACCCAAGAATTAAAACACCTTTTAAGCTCTTTTAATTTAAAGATGTTACTTAAAGAGCCCACACGTGTTTCTAGATATGGCGCTTCTCTAATAAATTATGTCTGTACAAATTTTGACTGTGATGCTTCTGACTGTTTTGTTGTTCCTGCCCCATTATCTGACCATGAGGCAGTTCAAATGAAGTTTCCTATGTCAAGTTTGGAATGCGGAAAAAGGAGAATAGTTCTGGTAGAATATATAGTACAAGAAATTTCAATAGCTTCAGGCAACAGTCTCGTCAAACCAATTGGGAAAATGTATTGGATTGTGAGGATCCTATTTATGTTTACTACTCTATACTAGTTTTCAACATATTTTTAACAACAATTTTCCTGTAAGGCCAAATAAACATAAATATAGAAAGCCATGGATAACACAGGGCATATAAAATTCTACAAAAAATCTAAAGTCTTTACATACTATAAGAAAATTTACTGACAATCACAGTTTTATCACTTTTTTTGATAATTATAAACGTATATATAGACATACTATAAAACTAGCGAAAGAAATCCATTATAAACACCAGATAAGTAGCTCAAAAAACAAAGCAAGGGAGAGTTGGAATATAGTCAATAACTTAAGAGGGAAGAATGATAAAATAGGTATACAAAATCAAATAAGCATTGATCTCAACGTCTTGAATAACTTTTATTGTTCAGTAGCAAATGACTTAACTTCGAAACTGAAAACGTCTGTTAATCCTTTGAATCACTTTAACGCTGCCCCAGTGCTGAATTCTTTTGTTTTGTTTGAGACTGATCTCACTGAGATAAAAAGTATTATCACACTAATGAAAAATAAAAACTCATCTGGAGTTGATGAGATTTCGTCCAGAATTTTTGAAAACTTGCCTGATAATGCCACGAGGCTATTGGTAAGTGTAATAAACAGATCGTTTAACATTTGTAGATTTCCGTTCTGTCTCAAAACTGCGATTGTCTTACTCCTCCATAAAGGAGGAAGGAGACCCAGATATACCATCTAACTTTCGACCCATATCTCTATTGCCAGCTCTGTCTAAGATAATTGAAAAACTGGTTAAGGAAAGATTGACAGATTATTTTGAGCAAAACAAAATTTAATCTGACTGTCAATTTGGATTCCAAGCAAAAAAGGGAACGAACGACGCAATTTTTTCCTTATTGGAAAACCTTTATACCAGGCTAAATGATGGTGATGTTACAGCGGCTGTATTCTGCAATTTATCTAAGGCCCTTGTCTGTGTAAACCATGCAGTGCTTTTGAGTAAGTTGGAGCGACATGGCTTAAGAGGGATAGCCTCGGGGTGGCTAGCATCATTATCTTTCCGATAGAAAAACAAATGGTGAAAGTGGGGAGTCAGTGCTCCGACTTGTCGAGTTTGAACTGTGGCGTTCCTCAGGGTTCCGTTCTTGGACCACTTCTGTTTTTGTCCAAAATTGCCATTCGAAGTGAATTCACACTATTCGCGGATGATTCAACAATTTTGTGGCTGGAGGAGAGGCTGATGATTTAAAGGCTGTCATCGAAAATGATTTAAGAAGCGTAAATGAATGGTGTAGGGCAAATTGCTTGTGTTTTAATATATCAAAGACTAGCAATCTAAGTTTTAATTTTTTTTGTGACAATCTGATTTTTGAGGGGAGTTTTGTAGAAAGCAGACCGGTTGCCAAGTTTTTGGGTATGTTTATTGATGATAAACTCAGTTCAAGTGAACATATACGATCTTTAAATAGAAGATTGGCGGCAGGATGCTTTGCCGTGAAGATAGTTTCCAGGGAATTGGGTTTGCCCATGGCTCGAATGGTTTACTATGCATTGATTGAGTCCCATTTGAGGTACGGAATTGCGTTTTGGGGATTCTGCACCCAGCAGCTACTGAACTCAATTCTCATTTTGCAGAAACGGGCAGTGCGTTGTTTATTCAGCGTAAGAGCAAGGGAGCATTGTAAGCCATTGTTTGTTGATGGAAAGATTCTGACGGTGATAGGAATCTTTATCTTGGAGACAGTGTGTCTGATACACAAAAAATACAAGAACTGTTCCTCAACCAATCCATACAATACTCGTAGCAGTGGTCTGCCATTGCCTATTCCTAAGACGACACTGACCAATTCAATTATGTTTGAAAGCATCAACATATATAACCACATTCCTTTGGTATATCGATTGATGCTCGATGATGTATTGTTCAAAAAAAGTGTTAAAAAATTTCTCATGGCGAGGCCATATTATAATCTGCAAGAATTTTGTAGTGATGACTTCTAATAATAAGTATGTTTTTGTCTTCAGTCTTTATTTTTTTCATGTCCCATTTTGTGGTGAAGTGTTTTCTTGCCCTGGTCTCCACAATAAATTAATTTTAAGACTTCTGTATGAGTGTTGCTTTGTAATTACCTATATTGCTCCATTTTAAAAAATATGTGTTAATATGTATAATATGTATGTATGTGTATATAGGGATGTGAGTTACAAAAATCTCCCATCTGTTTCTTTTATTTTATTTATATTTATATCTTTATCTTTACTTTCCAGCTTTGTCAATAAGAGTTTATCTACTTAGACAATAAAGCATATTTTCATTTCATTTCATTTCATTCAAGTAGTCCCTTTGGTATTGTACCCACTAGAAAGCAATATACAATAAGTGCCTTTTGTAGTTGTGTGTTTTCCTGAAAAACAACCCCTAGCCTCAGGTCCTACCCACACTAGCCGCGAGGCACGTGTGACATATGGTGGAGGCGCCGTGCAACGATCCCGGTACCTCTTCGCACCAGAGTTGGGATACATACCCGCGGCAGGTCAGGATACCGCCTTCGTACAATGGACATAATCCGTTGCCTAAAGCCCGGGACACATCTGCCATGCATTCGTCCGATCCGACTCCGATCATACAAGCAGGGTCCTTAATCTTGGAACCGGGAGCAGCGTTCCCAGGAGAACGAGTGTTCCGCTGCTCCCCTGTTCCAAGAATAAGGACTTTGGTTGTATGATCGGAGTCGGATCGGAAGAATGCATGATAGATAGATAGATAGATAGATACATAGCTAGATTTTTATTAACGAACAATGGTCATTCACAAAAGATACCTGGCCTAGGTTAAAGTTACAATGATTAAAAAAATTCAACTTAAATACATTTATAAAAAATATCACACTATGCAGATACATGGCCTAGGTTAAAGTAACAAAGGTTAAAAAAAAATTAGTTTAAAAACATTTATATAAGATAAAAATATCACATTATGCAAACATTAGCAGACTACACAGTTGAAATCACAAGATAAAAGTCACAGAGACAACATAAATTATTATAATTCAGTCAGCTTACGTTTTAGTGTATTATAACTTATAGAGAATAAATCTATATTATCAGGTAGTTTGTTGCTACATGGTGATTAAAATTCTGCTCGGTATTAAACCGTACTCCAAGATCCTTAATATGGGTTTCTCTTGTTAACTGACAAGTATTTATTTTGTAGTTGAAATAAATAGGTTTTTTAATTCTAGAAAAGGTTACAATTTTGCATTTATCTGTATTCAAAGCCAATTTATTTTCATGACACCATTGAGCTAGCTTGTCAATGTCTCTTTGAAAATCCAGACAGTCCTGTTGACATTTTATTTTTTTGTAAAATTTGCCGTCATCAGCATAGGTGAGAGAAAGGGAAGTTTCAAGCGAGTTGGAAATAACATCAAGAAAGATATTGAAGAATAATGTAGACAAATGTCCACCCTGCGGGACACCTGAGTTGATGATAGATGTGTCCCGGCCTTAAGGCGGGTTTGGTATTTTGGTATTGACCTGGGTCGATGGAAAAAGAAATATAAATTAAAAAAAAAAAAAACCAATAATAATTTTGAAAAAAAAAAGATACCACTAGAATAGATAAGTATAATAAAGGGGGTACTTACAGTCCATATTTGAAAAAATAATCAAAATGATTCTCACCAATAGGGTAATTAACAACTTATAGATAGATTTAGCCAATTAAGCAAAACATAATAAATAAATATTGTATATGTTACAGTTAATATGCAAACTTGGGTAGTTTGTAAACTAGCTGGATAGTTTACAAACTAACCAACCCACTGGTTATTTTGATAGAAAACGCAATTTTCACTAAAATAGCAGCTAGTTTGCAAACTAACCAAGAATCATGGCTAATTTGATCGAAATTATTGAGAAAACTAAATTAGCTGGTTAGTTTATAGACTATCTAATGCAGCCTGGCTAATATGGAAACCATAATTTCTACTAACACAAAATAGCCAAACCTTTGGCTAGTTTATAAACTAACCAACCAATTTGGGCTAATTTACAAATAAAGTTAGGTTACATAGGTGTTTAGGTAAATGTTCATGCAAGCTAATATTTTTTCAAATTTTATACTAAGAAAAACGGGGTCCTGAAAAGATACCGACAAACTTTAAAGGGTAGTAAGGTACATCAAAACAAGCATTTTTGTTTATA